GTGTGTAGTGATAGTAACAAGTATAGTTTCCTTCATCGGAGAGCTTCACATCTTCTATGTAAAGGTAAGTGTGTACTTTATAGCTTAGAAATATACAGGCCAGCTGATCTCTTGCTTGATATGCCCTGATCCTTTTTGCTTTGTTCTCCATTGCTGTACCCCTTTTATCAACATAGCAATCATTCTATACACAGAGAAAGGTAGAGAAAGTGAGAGAGAAAGGAGTAGGAATGAGAGGTAGGGGGAAATACAGTGAGCCACTTCAAAAAGATGTTGAAAGATTAAACAGCACTGACCACATGTTAATTGCAAATTCTAACCACTTAGCATGTGTATGTGTGTAATTATGCTCAGAATTAGCTTATACTTATGTAGTCAGTGTAGTAGTGTACGGGGAAGAAAGGGCAAAAAGGTCACAGATGTTATGATGAGTGTTATCACATGGATAAGAAGCCACTCAATGTCACTCAGTTATTATTAATTAGAGCAACAAAAACACAAAATCAAGTGGTTCACTAAATCAGTTCATTACTTATTATTAGTATACCACTCAATGGCCTCAAGAATTGTTACATTATGCATGTAAAATAATGTATCAAGCATGTATGTGTACATGTACAATACATTATACAGTATATGTACATGTACCTTAAGCCTACTATTTTTAGTGTCTACTAAATTTAGCTATATTAGTGAAAGAGCTTTAAACCACTAAATTAAATAGACGCCAAAATAATTATTATTCATTACAATGGTTACTATTTATAGTTAATTTGGTTAAAAATGCTAAAATTAGTAACGCTAAACATGACTTTTGGTGATTTAAAAGTCATGTAGTAGACTTAAGGTATTCCTTTATTTGACGTGTGTCTCTCATTATGGCTGCTATATCTTCTAATGAAGGTGTTTGTCTATACTTACTTGTATCTTGTCTTTGAGTGGTTTAAAGTCACTAACAGCAGCTCTGTTCTTAATATCCTCCAGGAGAGACACTTTAGTGATTAGTATATTAGGAGTCTATTATTGTATATTAGTAAGCTAATTAGTATATTAAGCCATATCAACTGAACAGACAATATCACACAAACAAAAATCACTATAACGTAAAGAAAACAACACAAATAAAAATAATTAGAGAGATTAAGGGAAATAAGTAATAATAAATCAATCCACAGAATGTCAGGTACAAATCGTCTGGACAGTTAGAATTGACATTTTGAGACAATAATGTAGAATCTATGTTGCAGTAAATCAAGTTGACTGTAAAAATAAATATATTCAATGGAAGCAATGCATTATAATAGTCTGACTGACCTCATTATAATCCTTTATTAGTTTATTAGCAACACCTCGTGATGTCACAGTATCATAATCATTCAATATTTCAACAAGCCATGGAAATATTGATCCATCAAAAGTAATGGCATCTTTCAATTCATTAAGGAGTCTATCCATTCTTTGGTCTTCAGGTAGCCCACTCATAGTGTCACTGACTATACTTCTTTTGTCGCTGGTGATAATTTTTCTCTCTTCCATCTTGTCAGCCAAGTACTTCAAATCAATATGCTTTCGTAACAGAGCATTGTTTTTAGACAAAACTTCAGTTGCAGCTATAAATGAATAATTTTTTTACAAAATAAATATAAGCGCTACTGTTATTTTTG